TGCTCGCAGGGGCTGCGGTAGCCGCCGGCGCGCACAGAAGCACTTTTCTATCTCCCGCCAAGCGCGTCGGCGCCGCCCGGGCCTGGCGCGCGGGCGGGCTGGCGTGCGCGGGGCGGGGCCAGCGGGCGGGGCGTGCTCGGGGGGCGGGGCCGGAGAGCCGAAGAACACCGCACCTGCGCAGAGCCCTGAAGCCCCAGGGCAGGGAGAGGGCGTGGGTGTGGCTCCGAACAAGCAGCCAGGTGACTGAGGCCTGGCTCGAGCCAAGACTGATCGGGGCGGCCCTGGAGGAAAGACTGAAGAAAGGGAGTGAGCCGCAAGGATGGGAGAGTCAGGCCGGGGAAACCACCTGTGCAAAAGGGGCAGCTCTAGTCCAAGCTGCTCCTGCGTCCCTACAGCCCCACCTCAAAGCGGCCCCCTCACCCCCCCCTAGACCGGGTCTGTGCCTCGAAACCATCTCCCTGCTTCCTTTCCAGCCTCGAATTCAATGGCTCCAGCTCCTCAGCTTGATTGCTGGCGGCCAAAAGTGAGCCTCCTAGAATGCAAACCTGATCTTGACTCTCCAGAACTTAAAATCTAGGTCCTCTACCTCAGGGTAAAATACTCTGTAATCAGGTGTTTATAGGATTCTGCCAGATCACCGCCCCACCCCCCAACCCACTGCCCCCAGCCAAAGAAAACTCGCAGCCTCCTGGTCTTTACTCGGGCCCAGTACACTTCCCACCCCTCCCACCCGAATAGTTCCTGTTTATCCTTAGAGTCCATGCCCACAACCTGCTTGTTGACTCGTGCGTCTCCCCATTTGAACTATGGGATCGCTAAGGTCCAAGTGGCCCCTCAATTCACAGCAGTATCCCCAGGGCCCAGAATTCAACTGTTGCACTGAATTCAGTTTACCACATGCTTAAACTCCTAGAGGCTTAGCAAGGATTTTCCATTTTAAGTTGCCATTTACCAAGTACCTCCCGAGTGTCACCCCACATCCAAGACAGGTGCTGAAAGGGGGGGTAAATGAATTATGAGACAGGAGCCTGGGGAGATGGGCTTAAACCTCAACCTCTTAGCCCCTGCTTATGCCTCAGACCCCTCTTCCAGAAACTTCTGGCCACCTGGGGACAGTCCAGCCCACTGCTGCAAACTTCACTTACCACAACAGAAGGAACACTGACATCTTATTATACTTGCTAGAAGCTTCCACATCAATTAATTCAGGGCTTCCCCCACCCACTTCCCTCCTAAAGTAATTCATGTGGAGATGTCCATCCCCTCTTCATTGCTAGGGCATAATATTTAAGAGTGTAGGCTCTGAAGCCGGACTTCCTAGGGTTTGATTCCCAGCTCCATCATTTACTAGTTATGTGATCATAGGCAAATAACTTCTCTGTGCCTCAGTTTTCTCATCTATAAAAATGAGTTATCAAAGACTTAGATTGCTTTTACTATGTGCCAGCCACTGTTCTGTATGCTTTATACATTTTAATTCATTTAATCCTCACAGCAACCCTATGAGGTAGTATTAGTATTCTCTTCTTTTGGCAGATGGGGACACTGAGACACAGGCCTCCTCCCAGGTCACACTGCTAGTAAATGGCAAAGAAGGGATTTAAGCCTGGGCTGTCTAGTTCCAGAGTATATGCTATTAATCACTACACTGGTACCTACTTTGTGGGATGGTTTTAGGATTAAATAAACTTATATATGTAAACCACTGAGAATAATCTCTGGTACATAATAAGCACTATATTACTTTTTGTTGTTATTATAACTCTTCAGTTGCTCTCATGCTTGCCCTTTGAGGTCTAGGAAGCTGCTTTGCACACAGCACACACTCTCACATGGATTATTAGTCCCATTTCAGGAGAGAGACAGGACCTACCAGCTCAGGCAAGGTATTTGCCCAAGGCAAGAGACAGGGAGCGGCTGTCTCCAGTTGCTAGCCAGCTGACCAATACACTTATCGACTGAAAAAGAATGCACAACCTAGAAGTTGAGAATTATGTTTTATTCAGCAGTATTACTGAGGACTTAAGCCTGGGATATAGCATCTCAGATAGCTGAGGGACTGTTCCGAAGAGGTAAGGGAGGAGCCAGGATATATAGTAGTTTTTGCAGTAACAAAAACAAAAAAACCCCAAGTAGTCAGAACATCAAAAGTTTACTGCTAATTAAAGAAAACCAGACATCTTAAGTTAATGAATTTAGCACTCTTCTATGTGTGGGAAGATGCAGGAGTCTGAGCTTATTGAAATTACTTGTTTGATACGCACCTTAACTATCTAGGGCCAGTATCCTATTTTTCTCCATCTTGAATCCTCAGGGCACACCATCAGGGGTGGCTGCAGTGGCTGCTGGCTTGATGGCCACAACATCCTTTGTTTACTGAAGTGTCAGGTGATATTCTTTGTCCATATCAGAGTCTAAGAAGCCTGGAGTCAGTGCTGCGAGTCAGAGAGCAGGGAGGTCACCCTGGTACCAGACGGAATCTGGTTATCTGCACAAGTGTGTCTTCTCCAGTTACCATCATGCCAACAGATACCCCTGGAGAGAAGACTCCAAGTGTCCTGGGTGCAGCCACAGCTGGGAGTGGTCCCTGGGCTCAGGACTGATAACATATAGACTGCACTCTACCAGGAACCTTTTCCTGCACATACCCTCCTTGGACAGGGAGGCTTCAGTCATTTGGTCATTCCACAGTTTGCCCCACCCCAGATTCCAGACGCAGGGCCTGCCCCTGTCTTGGGAAGGCAGCATCAAATCTATTAAATGCTCAGGATGCAGCATAAGCCTGGACACAAAACAAACACGGATTGATCACAAATAAATGATAAGTAGGATCATATGTCCCTCTGCCTGGCGTCTTCCCCTCCACTTACTGAGCACCTCCCTTTTCACCCTTGTCCTCCCACCACCGTACTTCCCCTGCCCGTAATTTTACTTGCTCTCTCAAGAGCAGACAGCCCCACATTCACATTTCAGCTTCAGATGTTGACCATAATGTTTGGCTCCTGGCAGGTACTCACAGAAGGGGTGTTACACATTTTTAATTGAATGAATGAAATGTTAAAACTAACATTTGGGCTGGAGAGTTGTTAGGAAGGCACAGAACTGGGGGAACTTGGAATGCTAGAGTTTCGATTGTGCCTTACAGGGACCATCAAAAGAGATTTTGAAACAAAGGAATGTTTTTCAGATACTTCTGCCCAAGGAATTCCCTGGTGGTCCAGTGGTTAAGACTCTGTGCTCTCAATGCCGAGGGCTCAGGTTCAATCCCTGAAGGGAACTGAGATCCCACAAGACACACTGTGCGGCCGGAAAAAAAGAAAAACGTTTTTAAAAAAAAGATACTTCTGCCTCACCCCCAAGGGCATCAGTGTAGAGGACAGAGTCATGGCAGCAGGTAAGTGGCCAGAGGCATGAGAGGTCCAGAACCAGCAGTGGAAATGGGAAACTTTCAACAACAGGGTGGATCCCAATGCAGGGAAGCAATTCAATTAACTGATTCAAGAAATCAGACCTCAACAGAGAAATTTCCTCGCCCACTTCTCAAAAGATTGAGATTTTATGAATAACTATTTGCAAAGCACCTATATTTGAGTTCCAGCAAAGGACCTGCAAAACATTCAGGTCAGAAAATAATAGCTGGATTTTTACTGGGGAAGACACCATGGGCCAGGCACCATACTAAGAGCTTTGCCTTCATTTTCCATTTAATGCTCATCACTATGAGAGGCAGGTGTCAAACAGTAAGCTCCTCATTCTAAAGATAAGGAAACTGAGGTACACAGGTGTTAAGTTGCCATGATCACACAGCTAGGGGGCAGGTGGCTTGAAGCAAAGCACCCATCCTTTGAAATGTAAATTGAGAGGACAGTTTGTGAAAATATGTCGAAATGATTGAGGCTGGGCTGCACCAGGAGCTAGTCATCAGGAGACAATCCAACATCCATACGCTCTAGAACCTCACCAGGTGATAGGAGAGACAATGGGTAAACAGAAAATTAGATCTATCAGGGCGAAGATAAAGGCAGGGGCTGTGGTTATCAACCAAAGGGGTCACTGAAGGCTCTTCAAAGCTGGGTGACTTAGGAATTTGCAAGGCGGCCAGAGGGAAAAGCCAGTGCATATCAAGGACAGAAATATTAGGAAGTACTCAGACTGCCCAGAGTTGAAGTCACTTTTTTTTTTTTGACTTAAAAAAAAAATTTTTATTGGAGTATAGTTTCTGCTGTACAGCAAAGTGAATCAGTTATGCATATATCCACTCTTTTTAGATTTCCTTCCCATTTAGGTCACCACAGAGCACTGAGTAGAGTTGAGTTGAAGTCATTTTTGATTCTTCTCTCACATCATCTATCTGACCCATCTGCAAATCCTATTGGCTCTACCCTCAAACTCTACCTTCAAAATATATCTAGTGGCAAAGCACACGAAAAGATGCTCAATACTATTTCATTTGGGAATTGCAAATTTAAAACCGCAATGAGATTTACACACCTATTACAATCACTGACTAAAAAGACTAATCATGTCAAATGTTGAAGATGGGGAGTAATCAGACTTCTCCAATACTGCTGGTGGAATGTGAAAGTGTACAACCACTTTGGAAACAGCTCAGCAGTTTCTTAAAAACATATACACCTACCATATGACCCAGCCATATGGAGCCAAGAAAAATGAATGCACATGTTCACACAGAGCCTTTTAGATACTTTTATTTGTAATAGCCCCTAACTGGAAACACCCCAAATGTCCATCAACAGGTAACTGGATAAACAAATTATAGATATAAAACAAATATATCCACTCTGACAATAAAAAGGAATTACTTATACAATGTGAATCTCAAAATAATTAGGCTGAAAGAAGACAAAGAGTACACACTTTGTGATTCCATTTACACACGACTCCAGAAATTGCAAACCAATCTAGTGACAGAACCAATCTAAAGTGACAATGGTTGTAGAGAAGGGATGACAAAGGGACACGAGGACGTTTCGGGGGTGATGGATATGTTCCATTTGCATGACTCTAGGGGTCCCTCTTCAATCACTGGGAGAAGTGTGGGGTCATTGACCACAGAACAGGGCAATCAACCCTGCGTGGGCTTGTCCAGACTCATGCCCGCCCCAGCTGTGTCCTCATTTATGCAATCGCAAAGGGTGAGAATTTGGTCTCTTAGAAACCTTCTGGGAATTCCCTGGCGGTCCAGTGGTTAGGACTCCGCACTCCCACTTCATGGGGGACGGGTTCCATCCCTGGTCAATCGGGGAACTAATGCAAATCTCTTGCATTCCTGATGAGGGGTATGAGACTCCAAGAGAAGAGCCAGGATCCTGGACTGCTTTAATACACACACCACGTCCAGCCCACACCTCTGACTTCTTATCCTGGGCCTTCTGGGGCATCAGCTTTCACAAACATTTAGTTCTTCCTTTTGTAACATGGCCACCTGCACTTCAGCAATCAAGCTGGAAGGAGTCGCGGATTAAGGAGCTAGGGCACAAATTCAGGGAGGGAACGAACGACGGACACCAAGGCCTAGTCCAGAGGCGGGTGGAAACCACCTGCACGGCCCAGCCCGGCCAGGCCCCGCGGCCGCACTTGAAGGTAACATCACCCACCTCTGTGAAGATGGAGAGGGAAAATCAGGCCTTGGAGTTCACCTGGCAGTCTCTCGCCGCCCACAGTGAGCAGGGACAAGAGACGTGACCTGTTTCGAGGGGTCCAACTAGTGAATAAAGGCCGAAGATCCCAGGCCGTCTGACCGCGGGGCCCGCGCCTCCGCCCAGAGCCGGCCCACTTCCAAGCGCGCGCTCCGGCTCCGGCTCCGCGCGAGGCATCGCGGGAGGCGCACCGCCTGACGTCATTATAGGGCGCGGGTTTGGGGTTAGGTTGGATCCCGGCTGCTGGGCTGTGGAGCTCCCGCAGACTTTCCCCGCGACGCGGTCTCGCTCGGTGACCCCCGCCGGCCCCGCGCCCTCTGAGCCATACTACCTGGGATCCTGATCGTGAGAGGACGGGTGAAAGGCCCGGGGGAGGAGAGGGAGCAGGGCAGGTATGTCGCCGGCCTCCGACACTATGGCGGTCACGGCCCGGAGCCCGGTTGACCCCCTTCAACCTCAAGCCGTCCCTGACTCGCCGTGTGGCTCATCAAGCCCTGCACAAGCCCCTGACACTGCAAGTTTCCTTCACGCTATTTGTCACCGTCAGCAACTCTTACGAGGTTAATTTCTCTCTCGCATTGTGAGCTGCAGGAGCGCAACCCTAGGATGAATCATTAGTGGGCTTCGTGTTAAAATTTGGTATAAGCAAGATTTATTACTCTTTTTAAAGTATATATTTCTTCCTGTCTCTTGAAGGCAGCGGAAGAAATTAATAACATTGGTTGCAGAAAGAGGAACTGAATGGCTAAAGAGGGTGAAATTCTCTTTCAACATCCTTCAGCCCCGTGCTTACGTATTACCTAAAATTTTTTAAATTAAAATTTAAATTTCCTTAAGGCATACGTAGCGCTCTAGGACCTTTTACGGGAGAGTTTGAAAACGTCTCACATATGATTTTATGAATAAGAAGTAACTTAGCAAAAGCCACACAATGGATCTATGATCTATCATAAGATACTTCAAGTTTTCCTCCGTGCTCTTGGGGGAGGAGAGACCCTTTGTCACCCATACATCTCTCTCATTGTTATTACCTCTTCGTTTTTTTTTTTGTTTTTTTTTTTTTTGCGGCACGCGGGCCTCTCACTGTTGCGGCCTCTCCCGTTGCGGAGCACAGGCTCCAGGCGGGCAGGCTCAGCGGCCATGGCTCACGGGTCCAGCTGCTCCGCGGCATGTGGGATCTTCCTGGACCGGGGCACGAACCCGCGCCCCCTGCATCGGCAGCCGGACTCTCAACCACTGCGCCACCAGGGAAGCCCTTTTTTTTTCTTTAATATTTATTTACTTATTATTTATTTTTGGCTGTTATAGGGTCTTAGTTGTGGCACACTGGCTCTTCGTTGCGGCCCGCAGGCTTCGTTCTAGTTGGGAAGTGCGGGTTTTCTCTCTAGTTGTGGCGTGCAGGCTCCAGAGAGCGTGGGCTCTGTAGTTTGTGGCACGCGGACTCTCTAGTTGAGGTGTGAGAGCTCAGTAGTTGTGGCCCGTGGGCTTAGTTGCCCTGCGGCATGTGGGATCTTAGTTCCCCAGGCCAGGGATCGAACTTGCGTCCCCTGCATTGCAAGGTGGATTCTCTACCACTGGGCCACCAGGGAAGTCCCTCCTCTTCGTTTTTCTTTTAAATAAATAAATAAATTTATTTATTTATTTATGGCTGTGTTGGGTCTTCATTGCTGAGCGCGGGCTTTCTCTAGTTGTGGTGAGTGGAGGCTTCTCATTGTCGTGGCTTCTCTTGTTGCGGAGCACGGGCTCTAGGTGCGCAGCCTTCAGTAGTTGTGGCACGTGGGCTCAGTAGTTGTGGCACATGGGCTTAGTTGCTTCACGGCATGTGGGATCTTCCCGTGCCAGGGATCGAACCCGTGTCCCTTGCATTGGCAGGAGGATTCTTAACCACTGCACCACCAGGGAAGCCTCCTCCTCTTCGTTTTGATACCAACATTTCTCTGATGAGAGATTTTTTGAGTTCAACAAAGTCTCCAACAATTTTTTTTTTCGCTGCTACCTGCTAGGACTGGTACTACCACTTTATTGTTGTTTTGTGTGTATGTGTGTGTTTTTTTTTTTTTAAAGAGTGAAGTTGAAACATTTTTTCGAGTCAATTAACTTTTTCATCTCAAGTGGTTTAGAAAAAGTATGTGCACATAGGTGAACAGCATCTGGGATAAAGGGCTCATGTTTGAATTTAAAAACAGCCCTGCTCGTTATCTTGACCAATTGTTTAGACTTAACTTCACTAATACTGGACCAATCTGACATTATACATAGCATCACCTATGAAATATTCTTGCCAAAAATGTTTAATTCAAAGCTAGCCTTTTATGTCTAACTTCCAGTATGCAGGAAATAAAGGAGATAAAGGGACAAGTTAATAGACATCAGATAAATCTAGAATGTGGGACACCTAATTTAGTCTCTTCAAAAAGTCAATGTCATTTTAAAAAAAGAGGAAAGAAAAAGGAACCAAAGAAAGAGGTAGGGAGACTGTGTATTGGATTTAAAGAAACTAAAGAGACAAATCCAATATGTGAAACTTGACTGGATCCTGGCTTGAAAAAACATCTGTAAAACATTTTGGGGACAGTTGGGAGACATCTGAATAAATATTAAATATTAGGTATGATAATGGTGTGTTGTAGTTATACACTGATGTATATTAAGGGGTAAAGTATTATAATGTCTGAAGTTTAATTTCAGATGTTCAGTAAGAAAAATTATACACACATCAAGTATACATGGCAATATGTTAACTTTTGAAAGTAGGTGTTGGGTACTGGTGTTTACTGTACTATTACCACTTTTCTGTATGGTTCAAGTTTTTCGTAAGAAGTTGGGGGAAAACATACATCCTTGCCACAGTCACCCATAGACAAAGGGGAAAAGGCAGCTGACACATGGCAGGACAGGCCTTGCTTCCTCCGAGGAACCTTCTCGAGTCAGTAGTGTGGGGGAAGAAGCTCCAGGTTAGCAGGCAGGCAGTGCTCCTCTGGACCTAGGTTTCCTTAGTCCTCTGTGTCCCAGTTGGAAAGGGAAGTTGGATTAGATTCAGATCCAAAAAGTTCCTTCTAAAATTGTAGGTATGGGACTTCTCTGGTGGCGCAGTGGTTAAGAATCCGCCTGCCAACAAAGCGGACACGGATTTGAGCCCTGGTCCAGGAAGATGCTACATGCCGCGGAGCAACTAAGCCTGCGAGCCACAACTACTGAGCCCGTGTGCCACTACTGAAGCCCGCGCACCTAGAGCCCATGCTTTGCAACAAGAGAAACCACTGCAATGAGAAGCCCGCGCACCACAATAAAGAGCAGCCCTCGCTCGCTGCAACTAAAAGCCCACGTGCAGCAATGAAGACCCAACACAGCCAAAAATAAATAAATAAAATATATTTATAAAAAGATAAAAAATAAAATTGTAGGTATGAACACGTAGATACAAAGAACAGAGTAGTGGTTACCAGAGGGGAAGAGGCAGGGGGGAGGGCAAAATGGATAAAAGGGATCAACTGTGGTGACAGATGGAAACTAAATTTATGGTGGTGAGCACACTGTAGGAAATAGAGGAGTAGAAATGTACACATGAAACACAGAATGTTATACACCAGTGTTACCTCAATAACAAAATTGTTATCTACTGCTGCATAACAGTTTACTCCAAATTAATGGCTTAAAACTGCCATTTTATTATGTTCATAGATTCTGTGGGTCAGGAATTCAGGAAGGTCAGAGCAGAGACAGCTTGTCTCTGCTTCGTGATGTCTGGGAACTCAACTAGGACAACTCAGCAGACTAGGGGTGACTTCATGTTTGGAGTCCTCTTCATTCACGTGTTTAGCAGGTGATGCTCGTACAGGTTGGGACCTCTGGCTGTTGGCCAGAACATCTATATGTGGCATATCCACGTAGCCTATCCAGGTGGCCGCAGACTTGTACGGAGGCTCCGAGTGCCCCAAGTGAACCAGGCAGAAGCTGTATAGCCTTTTATGACCTAGCCTCAGAAGTCACAGTGTCAGTAACATAGTGCCAGATTGAGAGGGAGGGAACAGAGATCTCACCTCTCAGTGGCAGGAGAACCAAAACCGCAGTGTAAGAGAAGAGCACATGGGATGGGAGGTAATTGTTGAGCACATTTTTGGAATGTATTCCAAATACATTTCCATGACACTCCCTGCTGTTCCACAGCTGCTTGTTCTCAGCTGGCCCCCAGGTCTGCCCTTTGAGCAAAGTGGCCTCCCCCATCCCTAACACTGTGTTCTGGCTTGGCTACTCTGAATAAGCCCTGCACTAGGGCTTCAGTGTCAGAGAATGGAAGCCTACAGAGCCTTAACATGAAAAAATCATTTGAAATTCAGGATGTGACTTGAGCCTTTCTCCCCAAGGTTTTAAATTTCCAAAAATGTATAAAATAGATAACTAATGAGAACCTACTGTATAGCACAGGGAACTCTACTGAATGCTCTGTGGTGACCCAAATGGGAAGAAAATCTAAAAAAGAGGAGATATATGTATACGTATAACTATTCACTTGGCTGTACAGCAGAAACTAACACAACACTGTAAAGCAACTAGACTCCAATACAAATTTCAAAAAATGAACTTCCAAAAATGTTAATTCCTCGACAGACTATTTTCCTGGCTTCAATTATCCAACTCCATGTGAACAACTCAGGTCTTGAGACTGGACACCTTTCCTAAGCCTTAGTTAGGTTCTAGCTATTTACTGGTTATTACCACTTGCACGTATTGCCACTGTCTCAGCTGGCTCCTATGCTCTGCAACAGCTCACGCTTCAGAATCCCTGTCTTCCAAAAACTCCACCACTGTCCCAGGCAGTCAGGCTCAAAATCTTGCCAACCTGACCTCTAACGCCCAGACCAAATCTATTTCAGAATGCCACCTTTCCTACAACAGCATCTTAAATCCGCACTCTCGTTACTTCCTCTTGGAGTTATATGACACTCCCCCTAAGGGCCTTCCTTCCAAAGTTCTATCTTTACAGAACCCACCAGCTAAGCTATTCCCATTGCACCATACCCCTTACACACTGGCAGTGGTTTTGCAATCTTCTATCTGGCTTTCAGGCTTTCCCCAAAGCTGGTTCCCAGTGTATCCAGTACATTTGCACAATGCACAAATGCTGTGCATTTCCACATCAACTGCTCCATTCAAGCAGGTACAGTCTCTCCCATTGTCCTTGGGACAGATGATCACATTTTGCCCTGCATTATAACCTAAAACGATGATAGAACTGAGTGGCAGGAGCTCAGAGGAGAGGGACAAAGTGTGGGT